TGGTAAACTGTGGTCAATGACATGAGACAAAGTATATGTGAACTGCTGTATGGAAAGTGAATTTGCTCTGTAAATCTTCACCCAAATCACAATTAAAAAAAAAAAAAAGAAATAGCTTTGGGAATGGTCTCTAGCCTTCGGGCACACTTGAAGCCTGCATGTAGCCAAGTCATTGTTCAATAGCCTGCCATGCCCTTGCCGACCTTGGAACTTCGTCTGGACTTGAATTAGTGGCCTGCCATGTTGTTTAGTAACATTGGGATTGTGTCTTTTTACTTGTCAAGCTCGGGCTTATCAGCCTCAGCAGCCAGCAACTATCTGAGTGAAGAAAAGCCTCCAGCTTCAGTGGGCCGGAAGCAGGAGGCAGAGCTGAAGCCCAGACTTGAGGGGCTTTCATCCAGCCCCTAGAGCCTGGCACTTTGAACTCAGACTTAATGCCTCCAAAACTGTAAGAGAATAAACTCCTGTTTGTTCAAGCCATGCCATTTGTGGTATATTCCTGTCAGAGTGGCACTAGGGAACCAGAACATCTGTGAAAAGCAACCAGCTGATTGACAGAAGAGGCTGCATGTGAGAACACTGCAGAGGTGGGGAGGGCTGCAGCCAAATGCAAACCGTTCAGAGAAGGCCCAGGGCCCACCGCCCCCACCCCAACCTTTCACTCTGCTTTGGTTTGGGTGAGAAAAAGCCTTCTGATGTTCTAGTTTAATCATTCCAGAAATTTCTTGGTATTCATTTAAATGTAGATCATTACACGTTCCTTTAAAACAAGCAAACTCCAAAAGATTTGGTTTGGTTTGTCTAGTTTAAGAAAATTTGACTTTAATGACAGACTTTGCCTTTAGACTCCTGGCTGGAGCTAATGTTCTGAGCCAGTTATCCAGACAGTCCTGCCTGCTCAGAACTTCCTAACAAAAATGGCAAGCCACTGGGGCCTCAGCCATGGTCTGTGTGCCCGGACTGTGGAAACTGTGCCAATGGACACTTTTCATCAAAAGAGGTCTCAGAGTGTGCACAACAGCCCGTTCGTGAACAGTACGGTACGGCGGCCTCTACAGTTCAATGTTCCCTGACCCACCCCATACCTGCTCTGAAGCCAATGAAAACCAGTGTGGTTAGGAGCCCTTTAGGACCAGCCTGTCTGTCAGAAGAGCGTGTTCATGCCCCCGTAACAAGGTGGATGGTAGGAAATGCTGAGGGGGATATGTCATGGGGATTCAGAAGAGGCCAATGTCCCAGGCTGGCTGAGACTATGGGAACAAGAGGTTGGAGAAGGCTGCCTGGAAGGAGCCTATGCAACAGAGTGTGCTGAGAGATGACCAGGCCAGTAGCTGCAGGAGCCAGTCTCAGAGGAGCAGTGGAGGTGGGGCCAAGGGAGGACTAGAACCTGGCAGGCTCTGGCACCAAGCCCAGGGACCTGTGGCATTATCTGGGGACAATGAGGGACCAGGAGGCTCTCAAGGGTGGTCCATCAGTCCCACTCCTAAGCTGCATGTTCTCCAAAAACAGAAGCAAGAGAAACAATGCAACACTAAGTTGTGATGCTAGCTCAGCATCATACCTCACAGTCCTGGGACAGAAGGCCAGTGGGGCCTTCTAAAGAGCCTGGACATGGGCCTTTTTGCAAGTGCTGACCAGTTTCGTCATGTCACCTCCTGGCATCAGTGATGGGGTACCAAAGACAAGCCCCTCCACTGGAGCCAATGTGTCAGATTCCAAGCAATCTTACACTCAGGACTGGGAAGAGCACTGTTGGTATGGCAAGAGAGAGTGGTCCCAAGACCCTTGCTTAGCCAGAGAGGGTGGGGCCGCTGACAGCAAGACTTCAGAAGGCTGTTAAAGGGTGCAATTTATTCTCAGTGTAATGCCTCAAGAAGAAGCACCATGGTGCAGTGGCTAAAGCACTCTGCAGCTAACCAAAAGGTTGGTGGTTCGAACAACAGCCACTCCATGGGAGATAGCTATGGTAGTCAGCTTCTGTGAAGATTTACAGCCTTGGAAAGTCTGTGCTGTTCTACTCTGTCCTACAGGGTCTCTGTAGTCAGAATTGACTAGATAGCAATGGGCTTAATGCTTCAAGACCCCAGCAACAAAGAGACTAACTGGGTAGGTATAGAACCACCCATGATGCAGCAGGCACTCAAAGCAGGGAGCACAGACAATGAAGCAAGGAAGCTGAAATGCAGACTGGCCAGGAGCTACTAGGAAAGTGGCCACTGCTCCATGTCTCAGGAGTAGGGAAGACGAGTCTTTTCAATCTCACCTCCACATGCAAGCACTCGCTTTCAAAACCTAACACATCCGGGCATCTGGGACCCTAGGCCTGAAGGATTCCGGCACACAGCTAAGTGCCAGTCAACGATAGCTATTTATAAGGATGATGAGTCTACAGCAACATACCATCTCTTCTCACTGTCATTTCCTGTAGAAATTTCTGCTTTAAACATACAAAGTGAAAACAAAACAAAAATCTCCTGTGAGCTAGACAGACACCAACTTGAAAAGGAGACGTGATTAGAAAGCAGTCTTCCTCCAGGACTCAGGTCAGGGCACAGCCAGGGTAGACATTTAACACCCACGGGAGTGCCAGTGGCCTGGTGTCTCTCCCGGCTGCCTAAGCACCAAGAAGGCAGGGTTAGAGTCCTTAGGGTCTTCCAGAACCAACAGCTGAGCAGCCTGAGGGAGTCTATGAAGTCATCTGCAGTGTCGCTGCCATGGAAGACGTGGCCTCCACCAAAGAGTTACTAACACAGGGCCAAGCAGAGCACAGAAAGACAGGAGTGAGCAGAAGGTGCCCACGACACAAAACACAGCATCTGTGCAGGAGGGCCTTGAAATCAAACCCAGCATCCTAGCAGGGATGAAGGAGAGAGAAAAGGGTGATGTTTTTCGGAATGGCAAATTAAACTCACCTTGTTTATTTTCACTGCCCAGCCAACGCCCCAACCCTTACACAGACATGCTCTACACTGACACGGCCAAGGTCAAATTCTAAATTGAACCCATGAGAAGCCTGAGAGTACAGTCTTATCACATAACTGTTCTCCAGGAAGCCTGGGTTCCAGAAGGCCACCAGGCAAGTCTGCCCAAAACAAGAGGGGCACATGCTACACTATCTGGTGAAGGAAGGAAACCAGAAAACGACAACTTATTAAATGAAAACTCTACAGACTGGTTTCCACCATGGGCTGTGTGGACAGCAGGGCCTCAAACTCGAATAAACTGCTTGAAGTCCTGCTGGAGATTTTATAATCAGATTAGCTGAGCAAGTAAGACCCTGCAAACGTCCCGTCATTTTTTCCCAGCCAGCCCTGCTGAAACAGAGCTGACAATATGGGTCCCAAAGAATCTTTACGAACCTCAAACCAGACACTGATTTTTTATGCCAATTTCTGTGCCCAAATGACCCTGAATGGAATAGCAGCTATAAAGGAAAACCAAGACTATTACCAAAGGAAATGCAATAAAACCAAGCAAATGGCCACAGTGTTTTTGGGGTCAAAAGCAACCCCAGGAGAAAGACTGTCACAGTGTATCTATGACCCAGAGTCAGGCTGCAGAGGGAGGCTACCCAAGCGGGGCCTGTGAAGAACACAGCACTGTGTAGCCCTGGGAGGTGATCCTTGCTGTCATGTGACAACAGCCACGAATGCAAACCATGCTCGCAGCCACAAACAAACAGAAAGCAAACACATCCATATCGGAGGATTTCTGAATACGTAAGTAGTATTTTAAAACTCCCACCCCTTCATTAGAGCAGTGGTTCACCTTCCACCCTAAGAGTGCACTTGGCAATGTGTGGAGACATTTGTGATTCTCACCAATGAGGGGGGTTGCCACTGGCATCTAGTGAGTTCAGGCCACTAGGCATCCTACGGTGCACAACAGAGAACCATCCGGCCCAACTGCAGGGTGCCAAAGCCAAGAAACCTGAAGACTGATCGGACCCTGTCCATCCCCAGGTCTCCGGGTTTTGGTCCCCTGCTGGGAGTGGGTGTGGTACCAGACAAATGTGCTCTTTATGCAAAACTGCTGACAAGGGCGTGAAAGGTAGGGCTCGCTGCACTTTGTAACTTCACATCTTACTAATCAAGCCACTGAAGCAGACAGCAAACAATGAAAACCACTTTCACTGCAAACAGTATTTTCTAAGACAGGAGGAATGATTTCATCAAGTGGGCACCCGACAAGCTCCTTATCTGTTACTGCCGAGCAAACAGTTTTATTCAAAAACGGGGGGCAGGGGCCATGACGTTAAGTACATGCTATCACAAGAAGGCTATTCCACCCGAGTAACTGACACCGTGTCTCTGTGTGTCAGGGGAGGGAGGCGGCTTCGTGGTCAAGGCTTCAGGTTCTCACTGGCAAAGCTGCCTTTGACGTGTCACTCTTCCCACTTGTATTTCTCACTCTCTAGGGTGTGACTGTGCTTTCTCTGGACAGGCGGCTTCTCTGAATCCTGATGTGCTGCTGGCAAGCCAGGTCTGTGTCCAGAGGTGGCAGGGCAGCTGTGCGAGTGTGTACCAGCTCAGCCCAGACATCACAGTGCCAGGATCTGGCAAGGCCCGGGGACAGCCAGTTCTCTGGCCGGGAGAACTCACTCCTGGATCATGTGCTCTTAGTGGTCCGCACAGTCTCAGTGTGTCTTCTCCTGGGGCCTCCACCCCTGAGTGGGGAAAGGGCTCAGGTCCACTAACAGTGTCTGGAGGGGAGGAGAGGGGCAAGCAGCCAGGGCAGTGGGGATGTGGCTTTGTCCACTATCTGGAGTACCATGCTTGTCCCTGCATACGTACACAGTCTCACATGAGAGGAGAGACCTCTAAGAGGCTGCCCTGTGGGAAGCAGCCCAAGGACTCCTGGGAGAGGGGTGAGGGTGGGTGCTGTAACTCAGATCCTTAGCTCACAGAACATGGCAAGGAATTAAAACATCACTTTGTTCTGGCTGGAGTTTGGAAATGGAGGTGGGGAAGGGGAGAGAGATGGGCCCAGGTTCATTAGGGCCAAATCATACAGGCATATAAGCCCTGTGCGGTAATGGGGGCTGCAGGTTTTTCAGCTGGGTAGAGTTGTGAGCCTTGGCTTAGAAAGATCATTCTGGATGTAGAATATAAAACAGACTGAAGGAAGTAAGTTCAGAGGCTTGGGGAGGTGGATACTGCCACAGGGACAGGGTGGTGGCCTAAGCAAATGTGTGGCTCTAGCCCACAGGCTATCCCCGGGGAGATTTTAAGAGATGCAAAGAACGTGGAAGAAAGGACGACCCCAATCCTAAAGTATAGACACAAGCAGACAGCGTCCATACTACAGAGGCATGGCCAGGGCCAAGGGCGCACTGTGATGCCACAGAGACGGATCCAGGGATCCAGAGCGTAGCATGTGTCCAGCACAGCAGAGCCCTCTGCAGTCCACAGGGGGCGCCCTCCCCAAAGCCCAAAGGGCAGAAAAGATGATGATGCCAAAAATGTGCTCTTCAAAATCAAAGCATGTTCACCCCACTGCACGATGCAAGCCAGCAGCCTGGGGATCCCAGGTGAGAGTGAAATGGAACAGACACCTCAAACTCTGGAGCGAGAGGTCCTGGGGAAGGGTCAAGGGCAACCTTTAACTTTCCCTCCTTTTACATTCACTTAAAATCATCTGACCTGTTTAGAACAAACGTGCACTTACATACTCCTTTATATACTGCTTGGGAGCTCTGGTGGCACAGTGCCTAAGACATCTGACTGCTAACCACAAGGCCGGAGGTTCAAACCCACCAGTCACTCCTCGGAAGGAAGACTGGGCAATCTACTTCCGTAGACTGGGCAATCTACTTCCGTAGAGATACCACCTCAGAAACCCAAGGAGGGGTCGCTATGAGTCAAATAGACAGTGAGTTTGGTTTCTTTGGTAATCTATCTACTGATGATATACCATGTCAAAGACATATATAATCATTTAAAAGAAACAAAAGTATAGACAAGTGTCCCCTTTATGGACCACCATCCACATAGACAGTGACACAGAAAGTAAAGCCCCACTCACCGATCCCTTTTCCATCACTCTGTTGAGCATGACAACGCCCCTGCTTTTCTGCTCCCACACCATCTCCCAAAAGTGACCACACGTGTTCGGCAAAGGGCCCTGTAAACAGACAATTTACAAGATGTGTGACATTTTAAGCATAAACAGCTCACTTTTGGTGGTTAGAGGATGACAGTCCCTTCAGTCCTCACCAGCTCACAGTGGTGGCTGGGGCTGAGACAGAGACCTGCCTCTCCCTGCCTAGTAGCAGTCACCACAATTCTATTTTCTACCACAAAGTGAAAGGTCATTTCTGCATTTCAGTTCAGGGCTGACCAACCAAGGACAGAAAATGCTGAGTCTGTTTCTGGTTTGGCCTGGCTGGCTGAGGGGCTCACCAGGATCCGTCTCCAGGGTGGGCTGACCACGGGACAAAACCACAGGGGGCAGGAGGGAGGCAGTGTGGGGAAACGACCAACATAGAAGTGACGTTTCTAGTGGTCGGAGGCCCAGCTCCAATTGCTTGCTATCTGTGTGACTTTGGGCAGATCACATCACCTCTCCATGCCTCAGTTTCCCCATCTGTATCACCGGACTGATCATCAAACCTACTCATAAAGTTGTGAAAATTAACTGATTGTATAGATAAAGAACTCAGCACAGTATCTGGCACCCAGTATGGTTACTGTTAGTAACAGCCAGCCACAGATAGCCTCTCCTTCCTCGGACCAAGGAACCTAAGAGAGATGGACACACATAATGTGAGATGGGGACTCAGGGGAGTGGCATCACTGAGGCACGGTGGAGTGTCGGCCAAGCAGTAGCCCGGTCTCCCTTCAGGCCACCTGACAATGGGCACAAATGTTTACCGCACCCAGGGCACGAGCGCTGAGTCTGTCTCCATGTTTCGTACCTGCTGGAGACACCTTGCCGTCCACTGCCACATCAGAGCCTGTCACCTCTCTGGCCAGCAGCCCTTCTTCTAGAATGGTTTCCATCCTTACCTACTTTTTCCCAGTGTTCCTTTCTCAAACTCTTTCCCCCTTGAAGTCTCGCAACACTTCCCTTGACCACACTGGACCTTCATGCCCTCTCACTTTCTCCTCTGAACGCATCTCAGGTTTATTGCCTGAACCAGACAAGTCAGTACTCTGTAGGCACTGCAGGTATGCAGGCAGTAGCAGATTCCTTGTGTAACCCTTTTCTTGCAACTAACATGACAAGAGCTCCTTGAAGGCAGGAATCAGGTGGTTTCCTGGCTGGCCACCTGGGCCTGTCACCCTCTGGGGGTTGGTCCACTCCCCATCCTGGGCACGAGGACCCATTGGTGGGCCTTGCACAGTTGTGACTTTACCCTTCTTCCCTAGCCTATCCCTGTCCTGGCACTCAACATCATCCCAGTTTAGAATGAGTCGGAAGGATTAAAAATCACGTAAGATCTGAAAGGATACACAGCAAAATTCACCTGACCACAGGGGAAGGTGAAGGAGGGCCATTACTTCCTACACGTCTATACTTGACTTTTCACAGATGAGAATACACATGTGTATCTCTTATGTAATGAACAACATTTAAAAATAGGGCAAGGATCTTCTTGTTTTCATGACTCGGAAAAAGTTCTAGTACCGTCCAGGATGCTCCATGGGTCAGACTGCATCGATCCCTTTTGTAAATCCCAGGTCAGAGAGAGACTCTGTAAACAGCTACAGACATCAGCTGTACCATTTCGCAGAACAGACAGAACTTCAGATGTTCCAAGTAACTGCTAGGGCGATGGGGCAGGGAGGACTGGGGTAGAAGCTTCCAGGCTAATATATGACACTGTTCACCCATCTATCTTTGCTCTGGGCTTCTTGACCCCAAACCAAAGCTAAACGACTAAAATCAGGAAGTACGAAACTTGACTTCTCTCAAAAAGAAGTTCCCAGGAAGCCACTTTTGCCTCACCTCTTCCTGCCAGCCTGCCTCAACCAGGGACCTCCCTCCTTATCACCCCACTCCCACTTCCCCCTTGGCCCTACCCCTTCCCACCAACGCAGAGGTGCTGGGAGGACCAAGAGCTGAGGCCTGGTAAAGCGCTGCCTTGTATTCACATATCAAGAATATGCTCAACAGACCCCCAGGAAGGAACAGTTTACTCCTGCTCCAGACACTGACTGGGGGACATGTGGGTGGGTGCTGGTCATGGAGTGGGAGGAACTGGGACCAAGAGGTGGTCAAGAAGGGCCTCGGCAGATATAACCTGATCTAGCGCCCCACCCCCAATCAGCCTCTGTTCACGGCAGTTTCTGACTTCCCCTTAATTTTAATATACAAGCATTAAATGGAATTATATGTTCAAAATCATCCTCAATGTATATAACTAAGATGAATAAACTGGTATTTGAATGAGGAAATAAAAAATTATGATGGAAAAAACGAGAAACTTAGATTGTTTAGACCAACTTGTAGGTAAGAGATTAGACTGGAGAAAATGAATTGAAAAGAAACATTTTTATCCCCTCTTCACAGATACCCACGGTCTTTGGGTCTCATGACATTAACTGCTTTACAAGAGGGCCAATTAGCGAACTATTTTTATGATTTTCTTCCCATAAAGATGTCAGAAGCTAAAAAAGAATGGTAAGCAATTTTTCTAGGATCACACTTGTACACGTTATCTAATGTTGCCTTTTCTGGCCCAAAGGCTGAGGACTGTGTGAGAATGAACACAGACCTTCTGAATGGCAATGTGCACGAAGACTCTACACCAGCCTCTCGGCTTTACCTTCGGAGGCACTGCCATTCTGAGGCGAGTATTTACGGCATCGACTCGAGGAGAGCCAGCAGGGGACTGGATGGCTCCGCTCCTCTGTCAGTAGGCCACAGGCAGCTCTGGCAGCTTCAGGCTGCTCTGTACAAGCCGATTCCCAGTACTCTCACACTGCCCAGGTTCGTGTTATGACCAAACTGAAGGTCTGAAGGAATATTTTTTGTTGCTTTTCGGTCTGTTTAAAACACAACATTCTAGAAGATTGGGCAGACAACTTAAGCTGAATGGAGTAAGGCAAAAACCATTTAAAAAAAATCAGAACATTCCATTTACCTGGGTAAGAATGTAACTCCTTTGGGCTTCTTCCATTTTTATCAAGCTAGCGTTGATGTAGTCATTATCTTCTTGATGCAGTTTGATCCGGCTATGGTCAACTGAAAGGCAAAGCAGAGCTCAGAGGTCAAGCCTGGAGGATGAGAGAACTCACAAGCAGACAGGGCACCTTTGCCTGTGGAGGATGAAGAAGGCACATCTGTTCTTAGGGGGATCCCACTGGCTGAGGCCTTGCCGTATTAGCCAAGATCGGCCGTGAATATGGTGAGTACTGAGAGATTCAGAATATCAAATGTTGTTGTTGTTGTTATGTGCCGTCGAGTCAGACCCAACTCATAGCGACCCCTTCTTGGGTTTCCAAGACAGTATCACTAAGGAAGTAGATTGCCCCATCTTCCTTCCGGGGAGTGGCTGCTGGGTTTGAACCGCCAGTCTTCTGGTTAGCAATCAAGTGCCTTAGCCACTATGCTACCAGAGCTCCCTATCAAATATTACTCATGAAATAAAACCAGAATGGTTTTTTTGAAACGTTTGAAATTTAGCACTAAATACTAAACAGGGATGAGCTATGTTAAAATTGCATCCTGCTTGGGAAATGAGTTCTTGAGTCCCATCTTCCCACCATACCCGTTATACCTTCCCCGAAACCCAGAGGCTCAGGGTATTGAGGGATCCATTCCCTAAAGTCTAATACACCCACTCTTCATTACTGACATGGTTAGGTCCCAAAGATCAGGTTGTTACTAGAAAATCAGTGTTATGCAAAAGTGGAGGACGACCCTATCAGACCACAAAATGGAGGATGACTACCTCATCACGTAACTGCCAAGCCACAGAGAATCATGGCCCAGCCAAGCTGATGCATAACCTTAACCATCACAGCAAACGTTATTCTTGCCTCACATCTCAGCATGTGTCATTAACGCGCAAAACAGTCGGACAGATTTTTTACTATGGTCTTAAATGCAAATTGTTGGATAATGAGATAGTCGGTAAGCGAGGAATAGGTGTGTATACTTTTGTAGAATAAAAACTACAGTGGCTTTAATCTTTAAAGGGGGACAAAAGCCAAAAACATTCCACCCAGTCCCCAAGGCACAAGTTGGTGCAACAGCTTTATGACCGCACCTCAGCCTAACCAATGGCCAATGTTGGAACATAAAATGACCATGGTCCACAGGAGTAGGGAAATTCACACTTTAAATTCCGTTCTACACAGTTTTTGAAAGTTTAGACATAATGCACTTGTTGCTGTCGGGTGCCACTGAACTGACTCTGACCCACAGAGACAGAGCAGACTGTCCCATGGGGCTTCCGATGCCGCCATCTTTCCGGAAGCACATTGCCAGGCCCTTCTTCCCTAGAGCAGCTGGTGGGTTTGAACTGCTGACTTTTCGCTTAGCAGCCAGCCGTGTGCTTAACCACTATGCAACCAGGGCTCCTTAGCGATGTGAAATCTTTCTAATTCAGAACCTGTCACGATCAATGGCTTCTCCTTTTTAATAAGGAGAATGTAACCGGGAAAAATGAACTGGGAACCCAGAACAGTGAAGTACACCGAATGCAGCTTTCAGAGCAGTTTCAGAGATAAACTCTCACTCGGCAACTCTGCTCAGGTTATTAAATAAGCAAAGCCATTGTTTTCCCGTTTCCATTACTTTGTCACAAAATAACCGTGGTTCCCTGAGGCCACACCTTTTCCTATTAGGACAGTTACAAGAGCAGTTGGGCACTTTTCTTCCTGGCACAGCACAAGGGTGATGAACTCGGGCAACCACCATTAACACTATCTTCTCCCCCAGTCTAATGGGAAAGAAGTTGATGGGGATAATGGGTGGGGTGTTTTGTCTAAAGAGAGATGCTAAGGAAAGATTATTTTAAAAACTAGAGCTCTAGTAGCATAGTGCCTAAGGCACTTGACTGCTAACCAAAAGGCTGGTGGTTCAAACCCACCAGCCACTCCTTGGAAGGAAGATGGGGCAATCTACTTCCATAGTAATACTGCCTCGGAAACCCAAGGAGGGGTCGCTATGAGTCAGGTCCAACTCAACGGCACATAACAACAACAAGCCAGTGGAATAATGTTTTTCACCATGGACAGGTGGTGCAAACTGAGATACTCAGGTAATGCTTTAGCATCATGGAGATATCTCAAACTACGTGACTGGTGCTTGTCTGCTATGTGAGTGGGTTCACATGAATGTGGATGATATTGGGCACAGGACGCATCCTTGAAGCCTTGGTTTTCCACTTGCCAAGCGTGTAGGAAGGTTACTTAAGAGCACGCCTGTAAAATGCCCAGCTCAGCACCTAGTTCAAGGCAAGGGCCCAATCACTGCTGGCTGCCGTTATCACCACCGCCATCATCACCCTCATCACAGGGAGTCGGGTATCAGGGCCTCTTCTACCTCCAATAAGCCTCCCTGTTGTCCCTGTAACCTTCCTCTACTAGAAAGTGGGGATAAGGACAAAAAGAACGTGGGGGAGAAAACACTTGGGAATTATTTCCCTGGAAGAATATTTTACATGACATTTTTTCCTCTGCAACACTGGTTCATAAAACAATTTGGATGAACACTGAGCAAAACTGTTCAGGAATATTTAAGATAACACATCCCCTAATTCAAAGTGATTTCAGGAAAAGCAGGAGTGAAGGGGGCTCCCCGGGTACTGCAGGAGATGCAGATGGGGAATGTTCTTTCAAGCTCAGATCTGCTGGCCACAGGAGTATTTGGGAAAAACCCAAATGCTTGTCAGGGGCCACAGCCTAGACTTGCTGGATCAGAGGAGGAGGTACTGAGGCCAAGTGCTTCAGGTGTTCCTGGTGTGGCCTCCAGTGAGCAACCGTCACATCATAGCCAACATTTGTTACGTACTTGCTGCTATGTGTGAAAGGAGCCCTATGGTACAGCGGTCAAGTGCCCAGCTGCTGACTGAAAGGTTGGCAGTTCAAACCCACCAGCATTCCATGGGAGAAAGTTGTAGCAGTCCCCTTCTGTAAAGATTACAACCTTGGAAATCCTATAGGGCAGCTCCACTCTGTCCTACAGGGTCGTTATGAGTCAGAGTTGGCTTGACAGCAATGGGTTTGGTTTTCTGTCTTTGCTATGTATGAGCAAGTTGTGGGTAAAGGGACTTATATGATTTTATTTAATCTTCACACAATCCTGTAAGATAGATGCGATTCCTGTCTTGCTGAAGATCAGAGAAGACAACAATTTGCCCAAAGCCACACAGCTAAAAGTGGTGGAGCTGAGATTCAAACTCAGGCAGGAGGGTATGGCAGTAGTCTGAAAGGCACAATTCTACATCCACTTTAACCCTCCCCCCATGAACCTGGGCCCTGCACAATTGCTGGCAGGTGCACTGCCATCTTTGCCATAATAAGGACTGAAGGCCACCACTCCGAGCGGCCCATCATCAGTGCCTGCTGGAGGGACGACCCAACGAACCTTCTATGTCCCGGCAGAGAATGGTGCCATGGGAAATTCAGCAGCTTCACTCCCACTCTGAGTGGCAATGTCTAAAACTCCTGGAGAGGAGTCCAAAAGGTCTCTGTGCCAAGAGGAGATCCAAAGTTCCTGTTCTTCACTCAGGAGCAAGCCCACATCCTCACATGGTTAGTTACTTACTTTCCAGGTATCAGCAGACCGGGAGCTATCAGCTAGCCAGCAGAGGAGGATGCCAACGGCCAGCAGGCCCCTGGACAGGCAGAGCTGTCCTATGTTTTGTGAGGTGGTGAGCAGCTCCCACCTCTGAAAGTCTCACAAGGCATCATCACGGTTTATTCCGATGCCTGGGGTCTAATGATACTTCTGCTGAGTCATCGAGAAAAGGCTGTATTATACTTGCTATACTCTGCTTCAGCTGGGAGGAAAATGACTCATCACAAAAACAGTCAAAGCTAAAAACGGTGCTTTGAACTTAGCGGAATTTTCCAGAAACGGAAACCTGACCCCTTCTACAATGGTGGAAAAATGAACTATCCCTCTAAGCCTAATGCCTTTATTATAGGAAACCATCAAGTCATAAACCTCCACTATTACTGATTTATTAACAAACCCCAGGGTTAAGGGAGGCTTGGCTGAAAAGGCTCTGCCGCTGAGGACAAGCCTGCCAGCAATGGAAGCACGGAGACCCGTAACGACAATGCGAATACTTACAGGGACTGACATCTCTGTACCTGTTTCGGTTTTTGTTTTTAGGAAGCTTGGCCACTTTACACGGGAAGTCACTGGCTTCATGCCGGATATCCTACAAAAGAAAAAAAAAAAAGGATAAAGAGTTTTCTTTTGAAATCTCCAGCATCAGAAATTCATCCAAACGTTATGTGAGCATCAGCTATGTGCCAGGCACTGAGCTGGCCCAGTGGAGAAATAACACATTAAAGATAACGAGTGGTATGGGAAATGCAACATGGTACATCAGGGGTACGTCCAAGGCCATGGGAGGAAAACTGAAGGGGACCCACCACATAACTGGGATGAGAGGAAGTGGTGTGGGGCTTGCAGCTGGAAAGATATGCAAAAGGGCAGAGAGATGGAAAGGGAGGAAAAGGCATTGGCCTCAGGAAAACCCAGCAGAAGCAAAGGGCTGGCATTCCCCCTTCAGCAGCGAATGGTTAAGTGGGCCGGTCTGGGAGGGATGACAAGGCCAGATCCTTTAGAGCCTTGAACGCCAGGCCTGGGAGCACCAACAGTAATCTGTAGAGCAACAGTTATTAAGAGCGGATCAAATGCACTGGTATGCCATCACAAAATCCCACTGCTTTCCTAGGAGCTGGTACACAAATTCCACGACATCAAACTATAAGAACAAGAAAGTAAAAGATCCACCCTGTGCTCCCGGGGGGGATGATGGGCTAATCAGACCTGTTGACTCAACGCACTACCAAATCACCACAGGCACTGCATTGAAGAGTCTTCTACTTTTGATTTACATTTAATTATTATTGAAAGACGAGCCATAATGGGAGAAGAGGAGAGGAGGGAGCAGTGACAATTCTGTAAGTTGGTAATCAGGCTGACTGGGAGCTGGGAGAGCTGAGGAAGCTCAATTACAGCCCCCCCAGTTCCCACCTCAGTGTGCCATAGGACTAGAGGCAGCAGGCCCCTCTGGAAGGCAAGGGACTCATTGCAGGGAACTGGGGTGGGGCCATTTGAAAAGAACCAGGCCCCTCTGCCCCCAATCCATGCTATTGGGTGACTGCCACATCACACTTCCACAGAAATCTGGAGGCATGTTTTCTGGAAGACGTTAAATTGGAAGGTTTCTGGACTGGAGACAGATTGGCACAATGGCCAGTGTGAGTGCTGTGCCAATAACAGGGGGGTTAACACTTTGTGTAAGGGGCTAATGGACCATGCAAACCTTAGCCTATGTGACCAGAGGACCAGAAGAACTAGATGGTGCCTGGCTACCACTGTCAACCACTCAAAGGGACCAGTGCTATCCTGGATAGCGTGGGAGAAAAACGTGGAACACAACTCAAAATCATAAAAAAGACCAGGCTTATTGGTCTAACAGAACCTTGTAAAACCCCTGAGACTATGGCCCCTTGTCACCCTTCAGGCCTGGAACTGAACTCACTCCCTTGGCTTCCAGCCAAACACTAGACAGGCATAGGGGATGAACATTTACATCAAGGAGACACACTCCTCAGAACAGGCAATCATGGGAGATCAGAAGGGCAGTATTTGCACAGGAAGATAGTTGGGGGGGGGCGGGGGGGGTAGGCAGGAATGCATAGGAAAGAAGGACACAGGGAAGAGGTAACTACAGGGAGGAAGTGGGAAGAGAGCCATCATACTATGGGGAATTGCAGTCAATGTCATGAAACAAAATGTTATGAACTGCTGCATGGAGAATGAATTCGCTCTGTAAACTTTCACCCAAATCGCAATAAACATTAGAAATAAACAAGGGGTTTTACATAAGAACCGAGTCCTCTGTCCTGTCAGATACACACACTAATGGGGGCCAGACCTTTGCCTTTCAGGCCAGAGGCATGTAAGGTCCTCTAAGCCACCTGACCTGGACAAGAGGAAAGATGGGATGATACCACCACCCAGGTGACAACTTCCAATGCACCTAGAACTGACGACAAGCTCAGTGTTGACAAGCCTCTCACCTGACCCAGAGCTCTCAATGTGCCTTGAAAACTCTTCATCAGGCACAGAGAATCATGGGTTACAAGATGTCACAGGAAAGTCTCTAATATATAAAAGAGATAAGCAAACAAAACAAAATTAGAAGCAAAGCCCCTTGAAGGAAACAAACAGCAGAGAGAAGAAAGCCTTGAAACAACAATAACCACAACAAACATACGGACATACTCTTCAAGTTAACACACTGCACTCATGAATCAAGGACAAGATGGTATATTGTTGTTGTTGTTATGTGCCGTCGAGTCAGACCTGACTCATAGCGACCCCTCCTTGGGTTTCCGAGGCAGTATCACTACAGAAGTAGGATTGCCCAACCTTCCTTCCGAGGAGTGGCTAGTGGGTTTGAACCGCCAGCCGTCTGGTTAGCAGTCAAGTGCCTTAGCCACTATGCTACCAGAGCTTCCAAGATGGTATATAATATAAACAAAAATGTCCCTTGCCGCTTAAAGACATGATAGCAGAGACGACAAGCTCAACTGAATAGGCAGAAGATAAAGCAGAAGAAATCTCCCAGAACATCAAGTCCCCTCCTCCACGACAAAGTAAGAGAAGTGAAGGAAACAAAACAAAACGGAATGGAAGAAAACACAAAAAATAATTCTAGAAACGCTCCCAGCACTGGAGAACAAGGCCCATCAAGTGCTCATCATGATGAGGAACAGCGACGTACACTAAGGCACATCAGCGGTGGCCTGGGGCGGCGATGGGGATGGAACTGGACCAGGAGCAGAAGTGAACCTTTGGGTTAATGGAAACGTTCTGTACCTTAACTATGTTGGTGGTTACATGGGCACAGACACTGGTCAAAACTCACTGAAAGGATACTTAAAATGGGCATATTTTATTATTTATAAATTACACCTCAATTTATACCATGGAAACAGCAGTCAAGAAATCAGACATCACATTGCACTGGGCAAATTTGCTGCAAAAGACCTCTTTAAAGTGCTGAAGGGCAAAGATTCACTTTGAGGACTAAGGTGCGCCTAACCCAAGTCATGGTGTTTTCAAATTCCTCATATGCATGTGAAAGCAGGACAATGAATACAGGAAGACTGAAGAAGAACTGATTTTGGTGTTAACGAAGGATACCGAAAGTACCAAGTACCAAGGACCGCCAGAGGAAGGAACAAATCTGGCCTGGAAGAAGTGCAGCTGGGATGGTCCTTGGAAGTGAGAATGACCAGACTTCATCTCACCTACTTTGGTCACGCTGTTAGAAGGGGCCATTCCCTGGAGAGGGTTATCATGCTTGGTGAAGTGAAGGGTCAGCGAAAAAGGTGAAGACCCTCAATGAAGTGGACGGACACAGCGGCTGCAACGATGGGCTCAGGTATAGTAAGGATAGTGAGGGTAGCGCATGACCAGGCAGTGTTTTGTTCTGTTGTACACAGGGTCGCTATGAGTCAGAGCTAACTTGACGGCACCTGACAACTTACCACCTCAAAGTTGGTTAAAAAAAAAAAAAAAAGAAAGAAAAAAGCACCCAACTGCGTAACTTAGGATTCATGCATTTTACTGTGTGTACACCTTAATTTTAGTATCTACTTAAGATGTGAAAATTCTGGGGCTTCTACTCAACATTAAGTTTTCAAGAATCTTTCAAAATATCCCTGTGCATCCTGGGGAAGATACCACACTAGATTAGAATTTTCACAAGTAGACAACGAAATACACCAACATGTAACAAGCAGATTCTTTGTCTCCCTCTCCTTTTTCCTGGCCACTTTCTCCGCAGTTTTTCAACATTATATTTACTCTTACCATCAATTACAGAAACATGATGGAGTAAGACATCACAGATAACAGCTGTCTGATATGCAAGCTCTCTTAGAGAAAGTACCAGGTAAGTGGCATGCTCAAGGAGGGTCAAAGGTTACAGGCACACAACTGAAATGACATTGCTCTGTTTTCTCCAGGCATCAAGCACCCAAAATGTTGGCATCGTCTCTATGGTAAACCACTTTTTAGATAGAAGAACACAAGTTCTTCTGAAACTATGATTTAACTGGGCTAGAAAGATTTCTAACTGCTTCATAAAGTTTCAACAAAACATCTGCTGAGCTGGAGAGGTGAAAAGAGACAAAGAAGTAAGGATGGCAGAAACCAACCCGACTCACACCATTTCTAAAGCCTCACTCAGTTCCTGATTTCCCATCCTCCCCAGTTAATTTAATAAAATAGATGATCTCCCACCTAGTAACAGAATGCACCACGGCTCTGAGTGGATGGACTTTGAAATGTCTTCAGGAAAGCGTATTATCCATTACTCAAAGACCTCCCAAATCCAATTAGGCAAAAAGTCAAGCGTGGGTGAAAAGCTGATTAATTTTCAATTTGCCATTTCTGTTTGTCTTGAAAACACAAAAGCATAAAAGCCAGTTCAGCTGCAGAAACATTTTCATGTTTATATTAAGCACATCTTTAAGTTAAACACAGCAACTGTGGTTTAAATACCCTTTTCTCTTCAGTCTCGTAATTGGGTGACTGTCTCCTACTGGCTCCATGGTGACATTCGTTGCTCATCTTAAAGCTACTCCATCCATAAGGGGCAGCAGCACCAGCCTCCTGGGCGGCAACAGGCATCTGCTGGGACATGCTCACCTCTCTGCCCTTCTAGCCCAGGCCCGTCCGGGACCGTGGTTCATTTTATAGGACAGAAATGGTCCTGAAACGGAACACGTGAAAGCAAATGTCTGATCAAATCCTATTTTTCTCAATTATTTGTTACAAAACAGAAGTTGCTGGACTGGATTATTACTATTTTCTTAACAGCTAGGCCACACAGCCTGCTGATCAGATACCACCCAAACAGTTCATATAACATGATTCAAAGCAGAAAATACTACATGTATATGGTTCTGACAGTGGCCTCTATTTTAAAAGTCCAAAGAGAGAAAAACCCCAATGGTACCTTTTACTCACTATAACTGTGGTGAACTACGGGGTCCCTTAGCACCTATCACATCTAACTTCCCCACTCCCCTGGTTTTTCCCAAACGGTTGCCTCATCTGGCTCTTTGGATAGGTACCCAGTACTTTATACAAGCTACTGGCTCTCAGAAATGGACAGAGCCAGACTGCAGG